TAGGGAAAGCCAACATAAGCGAACTTCAGGCATATTAAAATATTTCCTTCTCTTTCTCATGTCAACAAAATAGCTTCTCCACCACCCTCATGCTGTTTAACTCTTCCACCTGGACATTCTCCAAATCCACATATTTAAGCACTTTCCTGCAAATGATTCTGCTCTCACCCACAAAACGTGCTTTTAGATCCTCTGTCCTGCACTACCTAACCTCACACCATCATTTCCCAGATCTTTTAAGTTCTTGATCAGAAAGTCGTAACAAGAATTTTCCTACCTCAAGTCTAAATGCAGTTTATTGTAAAATGGAAGGTAGCATTCAAATTAAGTCAACTTGATGTTCATTATAGATGTGTCACCATTCACTAGGAAGGAGGTAATCTTTCACTATTAACAGTGACAGCCCTTCCCAAGCTAGCCTGGTCTTTACCAATGACACAGACCAGATGTGCTGTATTGAGCAGTATAGATACAGCCACTGCCTGTTTCAAAACTCAGAACACATTCTACTCTGCCTTTTTCAATTCAAATCTAACCGAAGAATCTGAATCTCATGATCACTACCTTCTCTTGTTCTTTACCAAGTCAGTTCCAATTTTACCCAAACACACAGCATCCAATCCATTCAAGAGGCTGAAAAGTTGATCTATTCAAGTTTCTTCTTTTTTGCCTTTTTAATACACTACTACTTTTTATAATTTGCATTTCTATAGAAAAATGGCACCCAGCAGTCAGCCTTTTAAAATCAGGGATGTAAGTAAGGTGTTGGACTTTAGTGTGTTCTGGGTTGATCTTTCTTCTGCTGAGTAGTGTTTTTATCTATTACTTGCTGACATACACTATAGTTATATTCAATAGAAATCAATGATGGTAGAGCTGTGGGATTTTCTTGCAAAGGACTTGAAGGCTTTTCTCACTCAGCTTGTTTTTGTACTTAAGCAGTTTAAACATTTAGATGTCAGTTTATGTAGGAGGGAAATGTTGCTCCCCATTTTCTGTGGATTTTAAATTCTAGTATACTGCCTTTGCAGAAGAAAACAGCACTAGATTACTTACTAGAAATATTACTTCATGCTTTTAAATTTGCCAGGCACTCTGGGTAAGAAAAGGTATCTAGACATGTTGCAAAGAGCTGTTCAGTATTTCTGCTTCCAAGTGTTCAGTCATTGTCTCACTGAATCCAGTAAGACAGAGAATGAAGGAACTGGAAACAGGTATTCAATTTTAACTACTGCCATTTCTGTAAATTTCTTTTTATTATATCACAATATATGGTAGTCCTGGGGTGACAGATGTAAAACCTTGAAATACTCTAGAAATGTGAACAAACTAGACAATACAGCTGTTCATCTGCTAGGTAGGCTGCCTGTATAAAAGAACTCCAGATTAAATGAAGAAGTCTAAATACATCCAATGCACAAAACAGCAAGTAGAGAATTGATTTGACTTAAGAAAGGCTGATCTGATCTAACTGAAGAAAGGATGATTAAAGGAATGCTAAGGACACTTTCTCTTTCCTGGAACTTGAGCTAGCTGAAACTCCTATAAATACTATTTTACTTGAGAACCTTCTTCAGAAGTTCAGGTTCTTTCCATTTCAATCCTGAGCCTCAGCACATGCCAAGAACTTTTCTTTGATGTGAGAAAGTTGAAACAGCAAAGAGGTAGGTATCAGACAAGGAAATGACTTAATCAGATATCCCAGACACTTTGTTTCCTGTAAGGACTGAATTAAATTACTTTTTGATTTAGAATTGCTCCAAGTAAATTGAGTAATATATGAGCTGAATATTTTGTCTCCAGAAACTTGTATTTTGCCTTTCCTGATTTAGTACGGCCATTTAAGTCACAAACCATTGCTGTCTTTCAAGGAATGCAAAGGCCTTTTAAGAAAAGCTCAGTATGTATGCTTCTGGAATTCAATTATAGACAAAAAGATGACTTTGAAGTAATGTGAATAAAGATTTTACTGTCGAGCCACAAAGATTAATTACACTGAAATCCTGAACGTTTGCTCAAGTAGTGCTATTTCAAGACATTTCTTGAAGCTAACCATTGTTTTAATGTTACCAGATTTCCAATACTTCACTTGCACACACCACTGAACCTTTGTTCAAAATCCTCATCTCTTACTAAAATCTTTATACAAGCCACTGAAGCAGATGCAATTCAGGAAATGGACAGACACTTCATGAATGGTAGATTTGAAAGCTGTATGTTTAATAGTTGCTCTTAAACTCATTATACCAGGCTTCTAGCATTCTCAGAAAGCACAGGAATTAGAGCAATTTGCGAAGCAGTTAAAGAAGTTTCATAATTTTATGCCAAAGAAACAATCATCCCCAGATGGAGAGTTCATGCAAAAAACCAGTGTGTTAAGAAAAGTGAACTTGTCCTAAATGTACCAGATTTCTGCTACACCATCTTTATCCTCCTTCTGGTTTGATTTTTAATATTATTTTTTTTGTATTTCACATTTAAGATGCCACACCCTGATAATTACCCTCTCTTCATATTTTAATCATCATCTACCTAGTTTATATAAATAAGTCTGTATATTTCTACTCAGCAGCCAAATCCTACGTAAGCAACATTATTCTTGACTTGGCTCTCAGATCCAGCTGCACACTAATACCTTATGATCCATTTAACAGTGCCAAAATATATAGGGAAAATCTTCATATGCAATTCCCAAAGTTTCTACACCAGTTAAAGAGGCCAGAATTATTTTACTTTATTTTTTTTAATTTAATGTTTAGCCTTCTCTTTTGAACTATCATTTTATACACAGCAGGTGTAAGAGGTAATTCAATCTTATCTATAGGAACTTCTGTATGGAGAAGTGACTGGACATGCCTATTTTAAAACTACTCCTATGTTCCTTTTGTAAGATCCCAAGTATAGAAAAGAACTCTGACCAACTGGATAGATAAAATCTCTAATTTTACAGTCTTTTTATTAGTATTCCAATTAGACTGCATGGCCATATCCTGTATACAACAATATTTGAAACACCCTTATCAGTACCCATCTGCTCCAAGCTCTTACTCTTCTTATGCAATATCATCTTGCCTTGGCTGCGAATTTTGGAGGCCCCCCTTTTATAAAAGATTCCAAAATGTTTTGAAAAGCGATACGTATGTCAGGAACAATGTATTTTTGCTTTACTTCCAAGGCTTCTATGCTAATTGAACTATTTGAGTAACTTTGTCTTTCATCTTACATTTGATCAATAATTTATCATTCACTATTCAATCTTCAGATAAGCAAGTCACAGACGAGGCAGTCGAAGTAGTACATGAAATCCAGAGAATTTGTGACTGCTGCTCATTGCACTTAGAAATAGAAAACCAAAAGCAATATATGTAGTCAGCATGTAGTGCAACAGCAAAACTGTGACAGCTTCATGGAATTTCATCCTTTTTCCTTGATTAGAAAGCATTATTTTGACAAACAGATGTAAAATAATTTACATTGCTGGCTAGACACATAGCACCAAAGCAAACCTATTTACATAAGGTGGAGACAGCTCTTTTCTCAAACCTCAGGCTATGCAGATAAGCAATTCTACAACCAAAGGATCAAACTAAACGTGTGACTACATTTTGTCTAAACGAGAAGAAATGCTAAAATAAGGGATTTTTTAAGCAAGGGACGAACCGTAGTTCAGAAACACTTGGAAAAGCTGCAGAACATTACAGGTTTAACTAGTAAACCTATTAAACTAACTCCTTGTAATGAAAGGGAGGATTACTATATCTTAGGAAGTCCCATCTTCAAAAAAGCTTGTGTTACTCTCTATTTGTATTTTTAGCAAACCTATGACAGGGTCAAGCTGATCTCAGCTGCAGCTCACCACTTTACTTCCCTCATCCTTCCATAAACTAGAGGGTTACATCTACAATTTGTAAACTGCTAAACCTTCAACCAGCTGTGTTGAATTTGATAACAAGACTACTGTCAGCTGGGCTCTCCTGAAGCCCTTCTCCTATTTGAGTCCTCCAGAATCCCCAAAAAAGTGGTATTCACATCCTTGTGAATCATTTCCTTAACACCCCTCTTTCCTGAAAGTCTTTCTTTCCACAAATTTATAGACCAAGGCCAAAACAATTTCCATCTACATTTTCTCATGGGAAGTCACCCCACTTATAAATACAACATTTTAAATACAGCCCAATTTTATTTATCTAGTATCAGCTTCCACCTGGCACTCATCAGCACTGGTACTTGCTATATCTTTCATAATTCAATTGGTAAAAATACTGTGTGCTCTTAATGTGGATTAATGTATTCACAGCAATCAAGTCACTTTAATTTATACTTGATAAAGAGCTTACTCTCAGTTTTTATAAAGATCCCAATAAGGCCACAAATCCTACCAAATAATTTGCTTCAGCTATCTTCATTGCAGAGATTCTTTCCAAAACTTAACTTTCCTTCAGTTCTCCTGTTTTCATCTCATCAAGAATGTAATAAAACTCCAGTTACCTCTTCTGCATTTCCATCTACTGGTCCTATGCACAAGGAACATAGTGGCTCCCCCCAGACCTACACAGCACATTATACCACTGCAAACAGCCCATTTCCTGCAGGTTAACAAGGTATGCAAGAGAACAGCCAGGGACCCTACATGGAACCATGCTGAATAATGTATATAATTCTAGATTAAACAATGTACACAATGGGCCCACATTTCAAGTGAAATGAGAGTGATTTGTAATTATTATTACTATTAAATAGTAATATTCCTCTGCTGAAGCACAAATGTTGGGAACAACAAATGTTAGCATTTTCAAGCAGCCCAGGAAGTATGATAGAGAAACAAAGAGTACTACAATAGCTCA